GGGAGATGTTTAAAAATTTATACTGAGTGGGGTGAAAATCAAGGTATAGGTAAGGATGTGGTGGGGTCAGCTCACATGCTGCACACGCACGTGGCACCTTTGCAGTGGTGTGTTGCCAAACAGTGGTACCTTGAAAATTAAGAGTCTTTATTCAGTGGGCTCCATCTGTAGGTGTGGATTTAATGACCTGTGTGATAATGCTGAGAGTAAACTCATAGTGATTTATCGCTCTTCTGATCTCTCTTGAACTCTGACTGCTTGTGTCTGTTGCCGTGCAGTGTCTGTTGCTGTGAAGTGGCTGCTTCTGCGTTTATGAGCAAGGTTGAAACTATGGACCTGCTTTGCTTTCTCAGGAAGGCAAGTGATAGTTCTTACTGAAGATGGCAAGGGCAGTATTTCTGAATGTGCTTGGACTAAATTTACCGTAAGGAACTGAAAAGTGTAGATGATAACTGTTGGAAAGGAAAGCATGTATTTATTGCACAAGTGGCAAAAGATTTACAGATGGTTTGGTTTATAGATAAATATTGTTTGCCTGTATTTCTGTAGTCATAAGCAGTTTGCAAAATGGATTTAAAAGCCTAAACTTTGCTATAATCTAGAGACCTTTTTAAATTTATTTATTTTCTATCCCATCTGCTGAGTTCTTCACTCATGGCTGAGATGTCACGTGGTGCAAAAAGAGCCAAGAGAAGTGACGCATCTTGGTATCCCATGGTAACTCTCCGTTTTCTTAGTTTTTTTAACTCATTTGCTTTGCTACCAGATAGAATAACCTGACAGTGGGATTAGACTTGCTTTGCTCATATGTAGGTGAAGGTTAGATTGCAGTGTTTTCAGTCTCTAAATTATTTACACCTTAGTATAAACTACACTTTAAAATAACCCCCAAAATAAGCAAACGGCCCCCACTCTGATACAAAACTGACACCCCCACCACACCCAGAAAACTTGAAACTCCCTACCCTAACCTTCTTAACATGCAGGAAGCATCGACTGGGGCTTTTACTCTTTGTTTGCCATTCAGAATATTGAAGCTCATCTGCAAAGTTTTTGCAGACTACATGTAAATATCCTGCAAGCATGTGTTAGAGGTAAAACTCTCACCAAAGCTAAATTTGCCTTTCAGGTCTTACAGCTCACACAGGCTTTGCTGCTAGAAACTTGCTAGGTGATGAAACTTATTTCTTTCTCTCCTCTTCCCTCCCTTCCATCAGCTGTTTTTTTAACCTGTGATTGTTATATGCAGGTACTGGATGCATCTTAATTAGAAATATCTGACATATCTCCCAAGAAAAGCTCTAGGTTTTGCATTCAGATATGCTGATATTCTTTAGATTTCTGATTATTAAAAAAAAAAAAAGTGTCACTTAAACCCTAAATATACACAGCTGACTTTATTATATTAAAAGAGTAGTGGCATGATCTGGTCATCCTGAAACTCAAGGGTGCAAATACAGTAGCTCCTCACCCAATTTGAACAGTGGGTATAGTCTTTGCAGTTGTACACGAGACACCTGGAATTTCTTGCACTGTTTCCAAACTCTTTTGAGTACATTTCCTAAGTGCCTTAAAGCACAGCTGGTGCAAATCCTGCTGAAGCATTGTAAGTCTGGCTAAATTTTGCCCTGCTGATTTTATTTTTGCGTTAGAGTAGGCAACAGCTTTCAGAAACCAAATTTATGCTTGGGGAGAAAAAAAAAAGTAGTTTTGCTCACAGGTAGTTCACATGTGCTGGAGAGGAGACTGGTAAAGTTCTGCAATGTGGCAGGATTTCCATTTGCTGTTGCTGCAGCTACAAGTGAGCTTATGTCATTTCGGTTCCCTCAGTGGAGGGATGAGCCAGAAGTTTTCAGAGTTAAGGTACCAGTGCACAGGGATGACGAATTTTGGTGTGTCCAATGGATTTGGAATCAGTTTTTGGATGAAAGAGGATGTGACTGTGGTGTTTGTGTGTGGGGGGCAGGCATAAAGATGATATCTTGACCAATTTTTGGCTTCCTGGATTTGGGGCAATTGATCTGCTTGATGTTTGCTCTTGAGAGACTACTAAACTCTCAGTTGATATACAACATACCTAAAGGCACCTGGATATTTGGAAGTATTGAAAGGCTTCTCTGGTATGCATGGGGCTGGCTCTGTCTTCTCTAGCTGTGCACAAGTAGGGTATGTATCTCTGTTTGCTCTGAATAAGTATTTAGTACAAAGCACTGTTCTTATTGTAATGGGACTGAATTGCCTTCTGTTTAATTTTTAGTTATGTGCAGTTCATGGTGCTAGCATGAGCTGTGGGTTTGCATCAGAGTGCTGCATGGTTAAATCCAAACAATGGGCTGCTTGTGGCAACTGAAAGTGGTGGTGGGGGAAAAAAAAATCCCTCTTCTGTAATTGCAGGAAAAAGCAAGCCTGTTTGCAGCAGAAATCAGCAAAAGTTTATTAAGTCATATTTTACTTTTTCCCCTCTGCATTTTCTGCATAGATTATGATGATTTAAGCATAAATTGCTTAGGCAGAAAAAGCACTTGGCCTGTCTTTTAGTTACTGATTACAGTAGCTTTGACTAGTGGTATGAAGAAATGCTGTACCTTTGAGGATGACTGTGTATGAGAGAACTGTTTGAGAGTACATTTGTGCATGTCTGTGAGGGTGTCTCCTGAGCAAACATTTATGAAATACTTCAATAAAAAAAGTAGAATTAAGGATTCATTCAGTAGAACCTGCTGGTGGTAGCTTTCTAGCGTGGTCAGTACCAAAAAATAATCTAATGCTTTTTGGTTTGTTTTTTTGTTCTCATTTGGATAATACGGTTGACCTTGCAGCTGCTAGTTGGAAGCAGAGAGTTCAGGAGCCCTTCCCAAACAGGCCAGGCTTTTGCAGCAGCAGGAAGAAGCAGAAGGAATCCTGATAAAGAAATCAACATAATACAAGTATGATGTGGCAAGCTGCTGTAATGCAAATATTAAGTGTATGCAGCTTGTGACTCTGTTGGAAACAAAAACAAGTGTTAGAAGAAAGGTGAGGAGTTTAAAGTCCACAACTAAAGATTATTAAAGCAAATAATAGCAAGCTTGCCTTTCAGGACAGAAAATCAGAGGCAGGTGGTTTAATGTCCTTTGAATATGGGAATATTTGTGTGTTCATAGGTTAGATGTAAGAGGACTACTACTCTGTAACCAGATGTTTGCCATTTTAATAATTTTAAGTGTGGAATATTTAATAGGTAAATAATTGGATTATACTTTCATCTAGATAAGGTCAAAACCTATCAGCCGCCTTGTAAATCATTGCTTCTTTTTCCCAACAAAAGCCTGACTCCTCTGTGCCTTTTACCTCCAGTATTTCTCACTGCTCACAATTACCAGCTATTTTGTAAGCTGCCTGTGATTGCTTTTACATTCTAAACAGCTGACTCTGAGTCAATCTTGAAATGGTTAACAGTAAACTATTTCCTCTGTATAATCTTATGCAAAATACTTACGCCACTGCTAAGAAGTCTTAGACCTGTTGTACAGAAACAACCTGAGGAAACCGGAGGTGACAGTGATAGTTAGAAAAGTTGGAGTTGGGGAGAGGAGGGCTGTGACATGTGTCAAGTTAAATTTAAGATCCCTGTATTAACTGAGGAAAAGTTGAGAGCAGTGGGCACTCTTTTTTTTTTTTCCCCAACAAGTGCCTGTAACTTGTCATGTAGGTAACTTTGAACTGGTATTTCATCTAACGACCTAGGCTCATTTAAAGATTTTATTAATTCACTTCATTGGTACTGCTGAGGTTTTGAATTATTGGGTGAGAAAGTACTTTTGTATTGATGATGTACTTAAGTTTTTGCTGTGTTGTGAAGGTTTTTGTCTGACATAGCTTTTTATTTTCGGAGATATGGGTACATGTGTTTATGGTTAAAAATAAAAACAAGGGGGGAAAGGGCCTTCAAAACCAAGCAAAGTATGTCCTCAGCAGCTCATCCTGTGCTAACATTCTCTGGGGGAAAGTATGGTCTCTTCCCTTTTTAAAGAAGTACTGTGTCAGAGGGAAATCCTGGAGTGGAGCGGTCAGTTCTGTTAGTCCCAGCATTATCATCTTGTTAGATGGTTTCCTATGGTAGTGCCACTCTGGGTGCTGGGAGCAGCTGTGAAATTGGGAATAGTGTGCAGTGCTTTTGGGTTTAGAGATGTCCAAGTCGCAGGTACCACTGTATTCTTCCACTGAGTCCAGTAGATCTGCCCCTGAGTACATCTGTGGTGTTGCTGTAGTTGAGTCTAGCTGCAAAATGGCAGTGTAGAGATCCCATAAGGATCTGTAGGTTCCCATACTTCTTATACTGTCCCTGTGCCTTATTCAAGGCCTTGAGGATATCCAGGGAAGAGGTGGTGCAGGGCACCTGGATGAGAAAGGCAGAGGGCTACCTGTCACCTTTTGGAGTAGTGAGATGAGGCGAGGACTTCTTTGGACTCATACAGGCAGGGATGAGTTCCACAAAGATAATCCCTTTTCTGAAATCAAGAAACTCAGAAACTCAAGAAACTCTACTCCCTTCTTCTGAGCAGGTCAAGGGGAAAGGCATTATCTGCCATTGCTTTGCCCTTATGCACACCCTGCAGACTTGCAGTGGGGGACTTTAGCTTTTATTTTACAAGGAAATGCTTGTTCACATAGCAGATAGAACAAAACAAGTAGGAGCTCGTGTAACAGGCAGCATATCTGGCTTAAATTGAAGAGTCTGACTTCAGAAAGTATAGAAGGACAGATCATTCCAATTATGGGACTCCCATCAGTCTGTGGTGAGCTTGTAGGGTCAAGAGGGAAGCTAAATTACTTGGACTAATAATAGTTTTATTACTTGGACTAATAATAGTTTGGAAGGAGAGAAGACTGTAGGCTATAGTACAGCCAAGAGTGCCAGAGCTAAGAGACCCAGAAATACTGCTCTCACTGCTTTTTTTGGACATGGTCATAATTATTGGGGAAATCCTTTCCTGGCAACAGCAGGGGACTCCTCCGCAGGTGAAGTTTATCCTTGCAGGCAGCTGCTTGCCCCAGAGACTGGATTTTTTTGTTGTTCTCTTTTTCTTCTCTTTCCTGTTGGCCTCCTAACTACCAGAACACACCACTGGGTGTCTGGGTTGCACCTAAGAAATTAACTTTATGGAAAAAAAATAAGGAAGAACACATCTGCTGTCCAGAAGATCTGCATCTGTGCTTCTACCTGGAGATCTTGGAATAGTTCTAGTCTATGGTATGACCTCATGTACCACCATGATGAGCATCTGCGTGTAATATCAGCTGCACAAGTCTGTCCTGGAGCTTCTGATAGGTGAGCAGTCTGGCCTGCACAAGGTAGGCTTGAGCTGTTGCCTGTGTTAAGGTTCTTATGATCTTCTGCTGGTAGAAGTGGAAGGAGTGGGCCTGGACAGGAAAATTATTGTTGAACCATGATAGTGTGTCTGGTTTTGATGTGTGAAGATGCAATTAAGGCTTGAGGAGAAGTTTGGAGTTTTGGGGTTTTTTTTTGAACCCTTCTGGAAAGGCTAGATGAGTGAAACAGCTTTGCAGGGACTGACAGAGCCCATATGAGCCTGAAGAAAGACTTATACAGCATACAGTGGTGTGGGTACTCCTCTGTATTCCTAGAATCCCTTTCAACACAGAAATGCAAAGAAACTTGGATTTCTGCTCCCCAGTGTGGATTATAATATTGGTGAAATATTTGTGTTGGAAACTGTTATTTCCCATAGGGTTCCATGTCTCCTTCCTTTCTAAGAGGTTTGCTTTCTTGCAGTCTGGTCTGAGGCTATAGTGTAATTTAATGCTTCCAAGCATTAACAGGAAGTTAAACAGTGATTTAAGGGAAAAAAAAAAGTGAAAAAAAAAATATTCCTGAATCTCAAAATGACTTTTGAAATAGCATAGGTAGGAGAGAATCCCTGCATGGATTTTATGGTCTCATGGGTTTTGGTCTTATTTTTTTGTTGGCTTAAAATTAGAGTGGCAACCACTAATAATCATTTAACAATGGATTTTCTGCAGTCAGCTTTCATTTAGCACTGGAAGGCTGTGGTCCATCTCTGAATGCTGGAGACAAACCAAGTAAGCACAGCTCTTCAGTGTGGCACTGGGGAGTCTAGCAGAACTTGTTAGGTTTTTGCTCTTTTTTTACCATTTTATTTTAGAGATGCATAATGGCTCTGAAACTTGAATTTTCCTTCACTCAGGAAGAATTTTCCTTCACTCTTAACAGGAAGAGCAACTAAGCAGTGCAGTGAGTCAGAGGTGAACATCTTGATATTGCAAGAAATTAATAAATAATGTAGGTCTTTTCTGCCAAAATCATCTTGAGTTTATAACATCATTGATCACAGAAAGTCTTTCTTACCAGGAGGAAAAGCTACTGTGTTTGTCTTAGTCATGCTGTCCTGTTTCACAGTGTATTTAAGGAAGTAACGCAGTTATTTTTGTCTCTAGGTGAATGATCCAGAACTATAGTGAGGTTCCTGTTGGGTGAGCCTATAATGAAAAGGCTGTCTGTGCTATGTTGGGTTTATGTTGTTCACCATTCATGGACTGTGTGTTGGTAATACGGATGCTCCTTGGGCATGAGTTTATGCTTTTCTGATTCAGGACCACTCAGAAGATACACATGGGGGGCAGGTTGTAGCCAGAGTCCTGGCTCCCTTACCGCTCATGCTTTGTTTTTGTGGTTGTGTTGTTTTCTTTCCTTTTTTTTTCCTCAGATACCCCTGAAATTTCAGGAAAACATTCATTATTGTGTACTAGCAACAGCAGCACAGCCTGCTTTGATGGGTGGACTTAACAAACCAGTAATGTCCTGGACATTCTAATATCCCACTCAGTTTTGCAGCAGCCACTGCTGGAATGCCAGATGCAGTCTCTTGTCTCACAACTTGAATGTGACTCTTATAGAGGAGCCCCTCTGTTACTATGGAAGGCAGCTGACTTTGCATGCAGGTTAATGTGTCTGGACCCAAGTGTGTCCTTTAATCAGTAAATAGCCCTGACACCTGCTGCATGGTGTTCCCTGGGAATACTCTGAGTTCCTTTTTACCTAAATAGAATGGCAAGAGTATAGAAAAGATGAAGCAAATGTAGATGCTCCTTGTTACTAGCCTTCAGGCAAGAAAATACACTGTTCATTAAAGTAGCTTATGGAAATACTAGATATAAATAGCAGTCCCGCTCAGGCTTGTCACCATTGTCTACAGCCTAAGTTGGATGGCTTCCTAGTGTTGGTGGCTGCTAGTGGTGAGATAAAGTGACAGATTAATTGCCTTGGAGTAATCAAGAATGGTTTGGTTATGGAGAACAACCTATCTTCACTCTTTCTCAGGGGAGAGAGAGTTTGGGGTTGCTACCACTCCAGCTCCTTTCATGAGAAACAAAATCTCCAATTTAATAAAACCCCAGTGCCAATGTATATTATAAAGACAGGGTTGCTAATGCTTTTATAGCAGTGAGGAGATGATTTAGGCTGTAATTAGCATTGTCTCTTTTCCTTGCAAATCCAGGGAGGGTTCTGTAGTTATTTCTGTGTTTAGTTGGTTCTGTGTTACTGGCTTTAATTCAGTAAGAAAGAGTAGCTTATACCACCCAAGATATAAGTACCATCTACATGGGATTTCCTGTGTGCTAGGAGTGCTGCAAGTGTAAAGAAACTAACTCTTTAGCCTCATTAGGAAGAGTTGCTTTTGTGTTTTTAGATGCTGGTCTAATTTCCATTTTCACAGCTGTGGGATTTTTAAAGACAAAACTGTAAGTGAGGTGGGAATCTAAGCCCCTATTAGGACCAGGAGATCAGTGCAGCGAATTTATGTTGTTGCAGGGCTGTCTCTTTGTCCATATATTGTGCCACACTAAAATCTGGCATGGCAGCTACAAATTAGATAGTCCATAAAAACCTTCCCTAGCTCCAGTGTGAAACGCAGAACCATTGACCCTACCGGAAAATGTACCTTTGACCTAGCTGCAGAGCTAGCCCAGCTTGGAGCAGGGGCTGGTCTAGCTGACCTCCAGAAGTCCCTTGTGACCTGGCATGTTCTGTGGATCTCAGCACTAGACTTGATGACACAAGGTGAAAGTTGAAAAATACCCATGGCAAGAAGCCAGGATTGTGGATGCCCTTTAAATCCCTGTGAAGCAGATGCATGCACTAGGTCAATTTAAAATTGTAGTGTTGTTGTTTTTTGCCGTGTGGAGAGACCACAAATGCTCTGGCCACAAATGTGACAGCTGTCATGGTAGATCTCAGCTGTGCTCTCATTCTCAGCCTGCTCAGCCCTCCAGCATGCTCACCTCAGCAAAGAGAGGTAAAAGAGGAGGAAGTGTGCTAAACTAAGAACCAGTCAAGACAAATGTTGGACAGTGGTTGGACAGAAACATGTTTTATCTTGAGCTTTTGGACAAAAACCTAAATGGCACATGGAGACTTCTTGTTCTTGAACTTCTTTTAGGGTGAAACCTTAGTAGATAGGATTGGTTTTGTACTTCCCTCCATCACTGGTAACTTCCAGTGGCCCCTTTTTGCCACACCACCTCCAGCTGTGGAAACAGGATATGTTGGAGACCTAAAGAAATTACAACTTTACTTTATCTCTTGGCCTTAAAATAAAAATCTTTAGGACTTCTGTTCTCTTACACCAGCAGTAAGTAGGTACCTGCCAAGTCAATGAAGATTTTAGCTAGTAAACCTAGAGTGTCTGATTTCTTGCTTTGTTACAAAAGAGGAGAGTCATCCTCTGTTTTTTAGAGGTGATACGGAGCATTGGCAGAGCTGAGGGGTTGTTTTAAAGCAAAGCTTGAAGGAGATGAAGACTGTAAGAGAGCTTTAGGGAATCTGATAATACCAGGCAGTCTGAAACACCTAATGGCCTGTTAATGTTTCCAGTCTCTGACCCCTCTGTTGCATTGAGAAAGTAGAATTTGAGCCAAACCATAGCAATGGTGAGCTAGCAGCTATGGGAAACTGAACCTCAACCTCAAGAGGGAGAGAGATACAGCACATTTTAGTTATTTTCTGCTGAGCTGGTGTGAGATCTGTCAAGTCAACACTGTGATATTGTGGGTTTCTGCCATTGGTGGTACCTTAGACAGGACTGAGATGCTGCTTCTGAATGCTTGTGTTTATTGTAAGTGGTGGGTGTGCAAACGGACAGGCAAAATGATCACAGAATCAGGTTCAGGCTGGCAGGGACCTCTCGAGGTCATCTTGACCAGCTTGCCCTCATCAATCAGGGTTATCTAGAGCTGATTGCTCAGGACTATGCCCAGTCGGTTTTTTAATATCTCCAAGGATGTAGGCTCCAGAACCTCTCTGGGCAACCCGGTGCAGTGTTCAGCCACTCTCACAGTAAAACAATTTCTTTTTTTTTTTTTTGCTATGGTCCAATGTCTTTCAGTTTTTGCCATCTTGTCCTGCCGCTGAGCACCACTGGGAAGAGCCTGGCTCTTTCCTCTTTGCACCCTCCCTTCAGGCATTTGTATACATTGATTAAAATCCCTCCTGAGCCTTCTCCCAGTTGAATAGTCTCAGTAATCTCAGCCTTTCCTCATAGTCCCTTAGTCATTTTAGTGGCCCTTTGCCAAACTCTCTCCAGTATGCCCATGGCTGTTTTGCGCTGAGGACTGCAGAACTGGGCTCAGAACTTTAGGTGTGTCTCACCAGTGCTGAGCAGAGGGAAAGGATCGCCTTACTTGATCTGCTGGCAACACTCTTCTTAATGCAGCCCAGGATGCTGGTGGCCTTCTTTGCTGTGAGGATACATTGCTAGCTTGTGGTACCTTGTCATCCAGAACCACAGGTCCTTCTTTGCAAAGCTGCTTTACAGTCTGTCAACCTCTAACCTATACTGGTGCTTGGGGTCATTCTTCCAAAGGTGAAGAACTTTGCCTTTCTTTTATTTGAACACCATGAGGTTCCTGTCTGCCCTTTATTCCAGCTTGTCAAAGTTCATCCAAGTGGCAATGCGACCGTCTGGTGTACTGGCTGCTCCTCCCAGTTTTGTCATCGGCAAACTCACTGAGAGTACATTCTGTAAGTCATCCAGGTCATTAATGAAGAGGTTAAACAATATTGGCTCTCCTATCAAACCCTTGCTATGCCACTAGTGTCTTGCCTTCAGCTGGACTTTGTGCCACTGATCACAACCCTCTGAGCCTGACCATTCAGCCAGTTTTCAGTCCACCTCAGTGTCCAGTTGCCTAGTCTATACTTTTCCAGCTTGTCTGAGAATAAGATCTGGTGTTGTAAGTCTTGCTGAAGTCAAGATAGGCAACATCATCTGCACTCCTCTCATCCACCAAGCCAGTTGTTTGGTTGTAAGAGG